TGGAATGAAAAAGTAAAGCTCCATCGTGATAAGATTTTGGGAACACAAAACAAAACTTTTTTGTATGTATTATTTCTGTCACAATAACAATGTTAGTGCAACAGAGTGATGAAATAAATGTGTTAAAGTAATTAAATATGAATCTATAACATAACTACATGAATAATACAATAAAAGGAAAATATTCAATAGTAGTAAGTTCAAAGGTTCAGTTTGACAGTGTGCCTACCTCAGGAGAGACATCACAATCTCCAAAAACATCAGAGAAGTCAGTGGGGCTTTTCCTCAGTGTCTGATCTGCAGGCAGTGTGTTGTCATTGTAGGACGAGACAAACTTAAAGTCACTTGTCCTGGATCCAGTTGTCATGTATCCATCATAGTTGTAAGTGCTGCGTAAAGTTCCTGTGCCGTCAACATCTGCATAATTAGGAGGCAGATAACCACTGGGGATTGCAACTGCTCCATCAAACAACAGTCTGGGCTTCCTCCTGCGACAGAACCTCACACCCAGGACAATAATAATGAAGGTGAGGAAAAATGTGGACACTGACACCAGTGCAATGATCAGATAGGATGTCAGCTTTGAGTCTCTCTCATCATAAGAAATGTCCTTGAGTTCAGGCACTTCAGCCAAGTTATCAGAGATCAGTAAATACATGGAGCAGGTGGCAGAGAGAGGAGGCTGTCCGTTATCCTTCACTGCCACAATAAGGTTCTGTTTCATGCTGTCAGACTCAGAGATGTCCCGCTGGCTCCTGATCTCTCCACTGTGGAGACCAATAGTAAAAAGTCCAGGATCAGTGGATTTGACGATGTGATAGGACAGCCAGGCGTTCTGTCCAGAGTCTGCGTCCACTGCTATCACTTTGGACACCAGAGAGCCTGCATGTGCAGCTTTAGGGACCAGTTCAGTCATGAAGGAGTTCCCCTCCGGGGTGGGGTACAGTATTTGAGGAGAGTTGTCGTTCACATCAGATATAAACACAGTGACTGTCACGTTGCTGCTGAGTGGAGGAGAGCCATTGTCTCTGGCCATCACATGGACTTTAAAACTCCTGAAGTGTTCATAATCAAAAGCCCTCACAGCATGGATCACCCCTGTGTCTCCATTAACAGAGACATAGGAGGACACTGGGGCCCCATTCACCTCACCAGGTAACAGAGAATAAACCACTGTCCCGTTTTGTCTCCAGTCTGGGTCTCGAGCGGCAACAGAACATAAAGTGGAGCCAGGTTTGTTGTTTTCAGTCACATGTGCGCTGTAGGACTGCTCCTCAAACACAGGAGGGTTGTCATTGATGTCAGCTACAGTTAAGTGGACAGTTTTAGAGGAGGACAGAGGGGGAGAGCCCTCGTCAGTGGCACTGATTGTAATGTTGTAATCAGACACTAGCTCACGGTCCAGCTGTTCTGTGGTCACTAGAGAATAATAGTTTTTAATGGAAGGTACTAACTTGAAAGGGACCCCAGTCTGAAGGGAGCAGCGGACCTGTCTGTTGTTCTCTGAGTCTCTGTCCTGTACATTAATGATGCCCACCTCTGTACCAGGAGACACATTCTCAGGGATCTGATTGGACAGTGACTTTAGAAATATAACAGGAGCATTGTCATTTACGTCTGAAATTTCAACAAATAAAGTTGCATAAGAAGCCAGTCCAAGTCCATCTTTTGCACTAATTTGAATTTCATATGATGATTCTTTTTCATAATCCAAAGACTGAGCAACTCTAACCTCCCCAGTAGACGGATTTAACGTAAATATTTTGTCGTCATCCGAAGGGTGGTCAAAGCCATATATTATTTCACCATTTATTCCCTCGTCCGCATCAGTAGCAGTGACTGTAATAACCAGTGTATCTGGAGGAGAGTTTTCTGGAAGACTCGCTTTATACACAGTCTGACTAAACACTGGCGCATTATCATTAGCGTCAAGAACAGTGACATGGATGACTACTGTGCCTGATCTCTGAGGAGAGCCGCCATCAAACGCAGTCAACACAAGTGTGATCTCGTTATTTTCCTCTCTATCTAACTCCTTGTCCAAAACTAATTCACTATACTTTCGGCCATTGCTCTTTGTTTTAACGTCCAGCGCAAAGTGTTTGTTGTCTTGCAGGGTGTAACCCTGAACACTATTTTCCCCAATGTCTCCATCGTAAGCTTCATCTAATGGATATCGTGCTCCCTTAACAGCCGATTCACTGATCTCAAATTTAAGCGTGTCCTCTTTAAATTGTGGTGCGTTGTCGTTTATGTCCTGTACGCGGATATTAAAGCGATGCAGCTCCAAAGGGTTTTCCAGCACGAGCTCCTGTTTCAGAATACATGAAGTCTTCTTCGCACAAAGGCCCTCTCTGTCAATCCTCTCCTGAACAACCAGCTCTCCCGTGTTCAGGTTCACGCTGCAGTACTGGACTCCGTTGTCCTCGGAGTCCACGCGCGCCCTGCGAGCGGACAACCTGCCCAAATCCAGTCCAATATCCTTCGCGATATTTCCGATCACGGATCCACGTTTCATTTCCTCTGGAACAGAATAACTGATGTCTCCACGGCAAAGATGAAATGTGAAAAAAATTAACTCCAGATACCCCAAAAAACTGCACCTTTTGCTGCCCATTATTTATCCCTTGTTAATTGGGTTTATAATCTTTAGTGCGCGTTAATTTAAACCTAAAAACGGTGCATTGAAAGCTCACCGTTTTGTAAAAATATGCTGATTCTTTATACACAACGTGATAAAGAAGGGAGGAGAATGAACACGCTGCACCGTTCACTGGTAAATACTGACACCAAGAGTGTGTTTGAGGAACGACAAGTCTGCTGGTCATGTTCTGCCTTTTAAAACAATACAAACACTTTGTGATTCATTATCAAAGTACAACAATGAAAGAAGGTTAATATAGCATTTTAATAAAAGTAGATAAAACAATTGACATTTCTTCTACGTAATTGCAAAATTGCATATTTATTATTATTGTTATTAGTGTGTTTCTCCGGTCATTGTTGTTAAGCTCGCAAACATAAGAAAAAAAACAAGGTATTAATGAACAAATTTGGAAATGTTGTACAAGATAAACACCAACTTATAAATTTTATAAATGAAGAATCAAGTAGCCTCTGAGTTGTTAGCTGTTTTAACAATAAAAAAAAAAAAAAAAAAAAAAGACAATGGGGTCATCTTTGTGAATTTAAATAAGTTTTACATTTCAGAATAAATATCAGCACCATGGACAGAGAAATTAAATATAATGAATAGATATAATATTTTCAGACATGATATCAGATCACTTATTTTTTTTTATTCTAACATTAGAATCAAAGTTATCTTCAGCTTCTGTCCAGTGTTACAGCTACAAGATGAACAAAACTAAATGCAGCCAGTGCTCAAGTTTAATTTCACCCCACGGGTGGAAATACTGCAGGACTCTGACTATATCACAATCTGTGGAAGTCTTATATAAAACCATTGAACTAAAAAGCAAATAATTAAATATTTTGCATTTATCCCTTCCAAAATGAATGCAAATACGTGTTTTGTAAGATTTTCATAACAGTCGTCCACTGCAGCACTTATTAGGTGATGTAAAAGACTGAACTTAAGGCAGTGGCTATTAGTACTTTTATATCAACCACTAGAAATACATCAATCAAAAAATAGAGACAAAGCTATATATTAGACCTCATTTCTTCACCTTATTACAAGTTAAATCATGAAATGTCATTAAAAGTCATTTTGGGAAATTACAGCTTGTGATGAAAAACGCAATCATACAACTGCATCACTACAATAAATAAATGAATACATTTTCATGAGTGCCCAGGGAACACATCGGGATCCCCAAAGTTTAGGAGATTCTATCCACATTTAAGTGAAGATATCGCCACAAAATCCCTTTGTTCCCTGTTATTTTTGTTAGAAATAAAACTCTCCAAAGTAATCAAACTATACACAAACACATAAGCCAGCGTTCCTCTACACAACTCTTCTACCCTCAGAAAGAAAAAACACAGCCATCAATGAGGACGTCTCTCATTCAGTGTTTTTTTATCTTCTTCAATTTGATGAATGCGACACAATCAACTTAGTCTGAGAAGTGAAGTCATTGTAAAAAAAAACACTTTTTAGAACATACATGTTATGAAGCCTTTGAAAGATTGAGTTATGACTAATATACATTATTTTAAGGCTAAAAGACACCTTTAATTCACATCCAAACTATCTTCACTTGCTTAATAAAAGCCTCAGAGATGCCTCCTCAGGTGAAATACCTAACCACAATGTGGATACCAGAACAGTCTCATGACGAAGATGAGAAATAAACAAATGAAAACATAAATATATCTTCTTGATATAAAAAGTAATTTCAATTCCAAAACCTCGCCAACCCTCAGAAGCCTGTCTGGACAGAAAAATTATGAATTCAAAACATCAATATGTTACTGATTTTGTTTAGACATGTATAAAATGTGACATTGTGGAAAAGTAATAATCAGAGAAAAATATTGGCTCTTTGCCACTTTTGCCTACCTCAGGAGAGACATCACAATCTCCAAAAACATCAGAGAAGTCAGTGGGGCTTTTCCTCAGTGTCTGATCTGCAGGCAGTGTGTTGTCATTGTAGGACGAGACAAACTTAAAGTCACTTGTCCTGGATCCAGTTGTCATGTATCCATCATAGTTGTAAGTGCTGCGTAAAGTTCCTGTGCCGTCAACATCTGCATAATTAGGAGGCAGATAACCACTGGGGATTGCAACTGCTCCATCAAACAACAGTCTGGGCTTCCTCCTGCGACAGAACCTCACACCCAGGACAATAATAATGAAGGTGAGGAAAAATGTGGACACTGACACCAGTGCAATGATCAGATAGGATGTCAGCTTTGAGTCTCTCTCATCATAAGAAATGTCCTTGAGTTCAGGCACTTCAGCCAAGTTATCAGAGATCAGTAAATACATGGAGCAGGTGGCAGAGAGAGGAGGCTGTCCGTTATCCTTCACTGCCACAATAAGGTTCTGTTTCATGCTGTCAGACTCAGAGATGTCCCGCTGGCTCCTGATCTCTCCACTGTGGAGACCAATAGTAAAAAGTCCAGGATCAGTGGATTTGACGATGTGATAGGACAGCCAGGCGTTCTGTCCAGAGTCTGCGTCCACTGCTATCACTTTGGACACCAGAGAGCCTGCATGTGCAGCTTTAGGGACCAGTTCAGTCATGAAGGAGTTCCCCTCCGGGGTGGGGTACAGTATTTGAGGAGAGTTGTCGTTCACATCAGATATAAACACAGTGACTGTCACGTTGCTGCTGAGTGGAGGAGAGCCATTGTCTCTGGCCATCACATGGACTTTAAAACTCCTGAAGTGTTCATAATCAAAAGCCCTCACAGCATGGATCACCCCTGTGTCTCCATTAACAGAGACATAGGAGGACACTGGGGCCCCATTCACCTCACCAGGTAACAGAGAATAAACCACTGTCCCGTTTTGTCTCCAGTCTGGGTCTCGAGCGGCAACAGAACATAAAGTGGAGCCAGGTTTGTTGTTTTCAGTCACATGTGCGCTGTAGGACTGCTCCTCAAACACAGGAGGGTTGTCATTGATGTCAGCTACAGTTAAGTGGACAGTTTTAGAGGAGGACAGAGGGGGAGAGCCCTCGTCAGTGGCACTGATTGTAATGTTGTAATCAGACACTAGCTCACGGTCCAGCTGTTCTGTGGTCACTAGAGAATAATAGTTTTTAATGGAAGGTACTAACTTGAAAGGGACCCCAGTCTGAAGGGAGCAGCGGACCTGTCTGTTGTTCTCTGAGTCTCTGTCCTGTACATTAATGATGCCCACCTCTGTACCAGGAGACACATTCTCAGGGATCTGATTGGACAGTGATTGTAGGTAAATAACTGGAGCATTATCGTTCACATCAGTAATTTCTATCATTAAAGTAGCATAGGACGCCAGGCCTAAACCATCTTTTGCACTTATTTGCATTTCATATGATGCCATTTTTTCATAATCAATTTTTCCTGTAACTCTGACCTCTCCTGCTTTAGGGTGTATTGAAAACACATCCTTACTTGAAACATGGTCAAACTCGTACGTAATCTCACTATGTATTCCCTCGTCCGCATCAGTAGCAGTGACTGTAATAACCAGTGTATCTGGAGGAGAGTTTTCTGGAAGACTCGCTTTATACACAGTCTGACTAAACACTGGCGCATTATCATTAGCGTCAAGAACAGTGACATGGATGACTACTGTGCCTGATCTCTGAGGAGAGCCGCCATCAAACGCAGTCAACACAAGCGTGATCTCGTTATTTTCCTCTCTGTCTAACTCTTTGTCTAAAACTAACTCACAGAATTTACGTCCCCCGGAATTAGTTTTAACATTTAGTTTAAAATGCTCGTTCTGCTGGAGGCTGTAGCCCTGTACTGCGTTTTCTCCTATGTCATCGTCGTGTGCTTCACCAACTGCATATCGCGCTCCCTTCAGTGCTGATTCTCGAATTTCAAATTTAAGTGTCTCTTCCTTAAACTTAGGCGCGTTATCATTAATGTCTTGGACGCGTAATGTGAAAGGATGTAATTCTAAAGGGTTTTCCAGCACGAGCTCCTGTTTCAGAATACATGAAGTCTTCTTCGCACAAAGGCCCTCTCTGTCAATCCTCTCCTGAACAACCAGCTCTCCCGTGTTCAGGTTCACGCTGCAGTACTGGACTCCGTTGTCCTCAGAATTAATGCGAGCTCTGCGCGTAGAAACATAAATGCCGAGGTCCTTAGCGATATTTCCGATGACAGATCCGCGTTTCATCTCCTCGAGAACAGAGTAGCTCACGTCTCCACGTATCACATTTGAAAAAAATAACAATAAAGCGAGGCCCATCATCCATTTTTTCGCTGAATCCGCCATTGTTATTCTTTGCATTATTTCCAGAAAAAAAAAAAATTCAAATATAGAACTTTATGCACTTATTGTGCAAGTGTTTTGAGTTGAATGCAATCTGGAAGCCTAACTATGAGGCGCATAATGTTGACAAAGAAGGGAGGAGAATTGGGGCTCGTACACGTACACTGGTGCATACTGACACCATGAGTTAGATCACAGGAACAGCAAGAACATCTTTTTTTTTTTTTTCATCCTTTTTTTTTTTTTTTTTTTTTGAGCGAGGGGAGCGTGTATAAAAATGTATATAAATGTATCTTATCCTTTAATCTGTGTATTAACTAATTTGCTTTTTTTTTTCATTCTTTCATATTACCATGTGTATTACTTTATGTATGTTATCCTGAAGTTATATTACAAAGCTTAAATTAAAAAAGACACATAAATAATATACTTGAATCATTACAATGAGCAAGTCATTAAAGTTCAGTAATACAGCAGACTGATAAACTAAAAAGACCCTTAAAATGAACTTAATTGTTGCCAATTCATACACGAAGCAAAAGAGACCCAGAATGTGATTGGGCCATAATGACAGTGCAGTAACACGTGGATGTATTTACACAGCACTGAAAGATTGAAAAAAGACACAACAGTGACTTTTATCCTTGAGGAATCCATGGACCATCATGGTTAAGTTTGAGACATTACCTTTAAATGCATTTTTGAATAAAACATTTCTAATTTTACTTCATCAAAAAAATATAATCAAATCAAATATGTAAATAAAAATCCAATCCAGGACAACAAGTTAAAGTATTTGGAATATCTGCCATACATAGTCACTCAAAGACAGTAAAGCCACAGCCTTTGAATTTTTTTTTTTTTTTTTTTTTTTTTTTGTGAAAGCTGCACAGTCGCAGGTCAAGTGAAAAAAAGGCAAACACAAGAAAACCAGTCCTTACTACCTGTAGGAGCCTAAACCCAGTTTGGAGTATTTTCATTATTGAGATAATTATTCTTATTTTGTTTGATTTAATGTTTACTTAAAATGCATGATTTTTGGTATTTTGGTGGTTCTTTATGGTTAACTTGATTATTTGTTGATTATTTGTTACAAAGTAATTTGATCTATTTATATTTTTTCTTTAATTAATTATTGCTAATGTTAATCATAAGTTTACTTAAGTAATGTTTAATTTTTGTATTATTTTGTGGTCTACGGCTCCCTATTTAAGATGTGGGCAGGTGCACCGGGAGAGGGTGGAGTGGAGCCAAACAGTTTTTTGACCTCCTGTCACCTACACGTTAAAGTTCCTCTTTTTGTTTGTATCTGTATGTCCTATAATGTGAATCAGCAGTAAAGAGTTTTTAAATTGCACTTGGATCGCTGTTCGTGGATTCTTTCATTTTTGATGCATTTTAAAAGGTGGAACAAGGTGTGCAAAGCGTCAACTATGGCTTCACAAATGTTTGGACCTTACACTACCAATAACAAGACAACATGTTCTTAAAGGTGAACTGTGTAACTTTTTGGTTGGATCACCTGCTTTTTTCTATGGACATGCCAGGGCTCTGCTTGGAATGTTCCACAATATGACATTAAACAGATCAACCTTAAATTGAAAAAAATACAGGTGGTTTTATAGCTCAAAAATACCTTAAAAACAGGCATTCTGACTGTGAGTGGGGTTGGCTCTTCCAGGTCTGACCTTTAACTTCATCTGGTTTGGTTTCCATGAAAACAGAAACATTTAATACCATACTGTGAAAGATTTCAGACAGAGCAGTAACATCTCCATGGAGAAAAGCATTTAACGGACCCTCCATAAGAAAAAAGTTACACAGTGAACCTTTAAATATAGACTGACAACACAGCAACATCTCTGCCTCCATCTGTTTGGGACTGTTTATTACATGTGTATTTTGTAACACTAGAAGGAAATGTACATCTGTCAAAGCTTTTGTATGACTGAATATTTTTTTATAGATAATTTAAAGATAATTCAAACCCTTTGTCTTTGCCATTGCACAAAGAGAAAAGACTAAACAAAATGACACTCTATAAAAAACATTTCAGCATCAAAGACAGGGCCAGAGTTTGGGATGACATCTCACCAAAATTCTATTCAAAATGTATTTAAAATGTGTATATGCAACAGAATGACCTCAAAATAACTTTAAGAATCATTGTCAATGAAAAGGTATTTTTAAACTTATTAAATGTAGAGTCACAACGCCAATAATTCTTGGACAAACAAAACTAAATATAAACACACACACAAGACAAAGACACAAACAGACTGAATTCATGACCTGAGCACTTGACTCATTTGGTGTAAGAAGAAAAAGTAATATCAGGTAAAATACAACTAGTCAGTTCCTTTAAAAACCCAAATTCAGTGGGACTTGAACAAGTGATATTGTGCTGTAGATTTAACAAGTAAAGAAAGAACAACATAAATATCTATAGATACACTAGTCTGAAATGATTATGTTGTCAGAAGAAAGACATATTTAGAGCTATGTGTCAATCAACAATAGTGGAATGAAAAAGTAAAGCTCCATCGTGATAAGATTTTGGGAACACAAAACAAAACTTTTTTGTATGTATTATTTCTGTCACAATAACAATGTTAGTGCAACACAGTGATGAAATAAATATGTTAAAGTAATTAAATATGAATCTATAACATAACTACATGAATAATACAATAACAGGAATATATTCAATAGTAGTAAGTTCAAAGGTTCAGTTTGACAGTGTGCCTACCTCAGGAGAGACATCACAATCTCCAAAGACATCAGAGAAGTCAGTGGGGCTTTTCCTCAGTGTCTGATCTGCAGGCAGTGTGTTGTCATTGTAGGACGAGACAAACTTAAAGTCACTTGTCCTGGATCCAGTTGTCATGTATCCATCATAGTTGTAAGTGCTGCGTAAAGTTCCTGTGCCGTCAACATCTGCATAATTAGGAGGCAGATAACCACTGGGGATTGCAACTGCTCCATCAAACAACAGTCTGGGCTTCCTCCTGCGACAGAACCTCACACCCAGGACAATAATAATGAAGGTGAGGAAAAATGTGGACACTGACACCAGTGCAATGATCAGATAGGATGTCAGCTTGGAGTCTCTCTCATCATAAGAAATGTCCTTGAGTTCAGGCACTTCAGCCAAGTTATCAGAGATCAGTAAATACATGGAGCAGGTGGCAGAGAGAGGAGGCTGTCCGTTATCCTTCACTGCCACAATAAGGTTCTGTTTCATGCTGTCAGACTCAGAGATGTCCCGCTGGCTCCTGATCTCTCCACTGTGGAGACCAATAGTAAAAAGTCCAGGATCAGTGGATTTGACGATGTGATAGGACAGCCAGGCGTTCTGTCCAGAGTCTGCGTCCACTGCTATCACTTTGGACACCAGAGAGCCTGCATGTGCAGCTTTAGGGACCAGTTCAGTCATGAAGGAGTTCCCCTCCGGGGTGGGGTACAGTATTTGAGGAGAGTTGTCGTTCACATCAGATATAAACACAGTGACTGTCACGTTGCTGCTGAGTGGAGGAGAGCCATTGTCTCTGGCCATCACATGGACTTTAAAACTCCTGAAGTGTTCATAATCAAAAGCCCTCACAGCATGGATCACCCCTGTGTCTCCATTAACAGAGACATAGGAGGACACTGGGGCCCCATTCACCTCACCAGGTAACAGAGAATAAACCACTGTCCCGTTTTGTCTCCAGTCTGGGTCTCGAGCGGCAACAGAACATAAAGTGGAGCCAGGTTTGTTGTTTTCAGTCACATGTGCGCTGTAGGACTGCTCCTCAAACACAGGAGGGTTGTCATTGATGTCAGCTACAGTTAAGTGGACAGTTTTAGAGGAGGACAGAGGGGGAGAGCCCTCGTCAGTGGCACTGATTGTAATGTTGTAATCAGACACTAGCTCACGGTCCAGCTGTTCTGTGGTCACTAGAGAATAATAGTTTTTAATGGAAGGTACTAACTTGAAAGGGACCCCAGTCTGAAGGGAGCAGCGGACCTGTCTGTTGTTCTCTGAGTCTCTGTCCTGTACATTAATGATGCCCACCTCTGTACCAGGAGACACATTCTCAGGGATCTGATTGGACAGTGATTTTAAGCTAATGACAGGAGCATTGTCGTTTTACATCAGAAATTTCAATTGTTAATGTAGAATAAGAGACGAGTCCTAATCCATCTTTAGCACTGATTTGAATTTCATAATGAGGTATTTTTTCATGATCAATTTCACCTGATACGACCACTTGTCCTGTTTTTAGATGAATAGAAAATTCATTGTTAGTTTCATCCGTCAAACGGTCAAATTCATAAACAATATCACCGTTCACTCCCTCGTCTGCATCAGTAGCAGTGACTGTAATAACCAGTGTATCTGGAGGAGAGTTTTCTGGAAGACTCGCTTTATACACAGTCTGACTAAACACTGGCGCATTATCATTAGCGTCAAGAACAGTGACATGGATGACTACTGTGCCTGATCTCTGAGGAGAGCCGCCATCAAACGCAGTCAACACAAGTGTGATCTCGTTATTTTCTTCTCTATCTAACTCCTTGTCTAAAACTAACTCACAGTATTTTCGTCCAGCAGAGTTTGGTTTAACTATTAGTTGAAAATTGTCATTTTGCTGAAGGGTGTAACCCTGAACTGCATTTTCTCCTATATCTCCGTCATGTGCTTCACCGACAACAAACTTCGTGCCTTTAACAGCTGATTCTTGAATTTCTAATTTGATTGGATCGGCTTTAAATTGTGGTGCGTTGTCGTTTATGTCCTGTACGCGGATATTAAAGCGATGAAGCTCCAAAGGGTTTTCCAGCACGAGCTCCTGTTTCAGAATACATGAAGTCTTCTTCGCACAAAGGCCCTCTCTGTCAATCCTCTCCTGAACAACCAGCTCTCCCGTGTTCAGGTTCACGCTGCAGTACTGGACTCCGTTGTCCTCGGAGTCCACGCGCGCCCTGCGAGCGGACAACCTGCCCAAATCCAGTCCAATATCCTTCGCGATATTTCCGATCACGGATCCACGTTTCATTTCCTCTGGAATAGAATAACTGATGTCTCCATGAGAAAGATGTAGAGTGAAGAAAAGGAATGCCAAATATCTCAGAGAACTGCGTTTGTTTGTCTCCATTATTTGGGAATAATCTTCAGCAAAATGTATGCAGCTCATGTAATTCTGAAAAACCATACAGTGAAAACGCACCGTATTCTAAAAATGTGCGAATTCTTTACCACGACTGCTAAAGAAGGGAGGGGAATGAACACGCATCACCGTTCACTGGTAAATACTGACACCAAGAGTGTGTTTGAAGAACGACAAGTCTGCGGTCATGTTCTGCCAAGTGCAAAGTGTTTCAGTGATTCAGGGGCTAAAATACAAAAAAGAGAAGAATTCGAATCTAGGGTTTTATTAATGGTAAAATAAAAAAAATAAAAAATAAAAAATAAAAAAGAAATGGGCGAGTTTTAATGTTATTGCTGAATTGCATTTGTTTTTATTTACTAATTTCTTACTTACTCTTACTGTG